GTGTATAGTGTTCACAAAGCAACTATAGAGTCACAGGGTTTAAGTTAACCCTACCTTTTAAATATCTGGCATAGAACATTATGAAGTTGGGATATGTCCGTACTTTTGCAAAGTACAAGTTACTTTGTAAAAGACACACAGACCAATTCACAATTTTTTTTTTTTATGCGATGCTATTAGAAGGACCTGTGTTTTGTTAACTACAAAATAAATACATGGACATGTTGAGAAAATTACACCCCATCCCACCGGGGCTCTTGTCAATTTCAAGTTTTATGTTATTGGGTTTTTTGTTATCTACTTTCCAAAATATATTTGTGAAAATAGACATGACAAATGATTGAGCAAAATTGAAGGAAAGGTCACCAATGTAAACACTTGATTTTAGGTTGAGTCACCAGAATGACACATTAGAGGTGGTGGCTGCTACTCTGAAATAATGGGGTCACCTAGTAGGAATCTTTGATTTAAAGAGTGTAAGCCCAGCTACTTCGTGATTGCAACATTCTACTTTTCCTTAGAAGAATATGACAGCAAAATGTACAGCCAACACACCCAAATAAATTCTCTGTGATTTCAAATTTGTTTCTTCTCATTTCTGGTTTATCAGACGGTGGTGAAATTTATATTAAAAACCATCATAAGCCTGCCTGAATCAATGCGGTGTATCTGGTTTCACAAGCCTTTTCTAACACCAATGTTGACACTGTCTCCTTTCCATCTTCTGTCATACATGCTTATTTTAAGGGTCAACTAACCATTTAATATGTTGAAATCATCATTAGGAAAGAGTGGGACCAGAGAACAACAGTACATTTTTCTGATTTCAGTAATCAGTCATAACAATAGCAACATGCGGGCATTTCACTAGTTTTCTTATGTTTAATTCATTTGTTAATCATTTTTCTCTCCGCTTTCATATATCCAGCATGACATTTTCTTGGCCTTTTAACTTTCTTCATACTACAATGATTATTCATTATTGTATCAATTTGTTGTAAGTTTTTTTTCTTTTTTAGGGCGATCTTTTATACAGACAGTCTTGTTGTCAATTGTGAGCCACAAAGTCTCTGTCTCAATGACCCCATTCTATAGATGGTAGGCAACAGATAAATGGGCTAAAAATCTTGAGTTATATATACTATTATTTTATGATTCCCATGTGCTATCAAACATTTTCTGTTTGTATGGCCTGCTCTTTGATCACCTCCCCCTGGGAGAGGGAGCAGCCTTTCCAGGCCACAGAGGAGTGTGCAACCAGTCCTGATGAGACTCAAAAGGCTAGGATTAGATGGAGGGGCAGAGGACCTCCCCTATTAGTGGACTGGGGGAGAGGTATGGGGGAGAAGTGAGAGGGAGGAAGGGTGGAATTGAGGGAGACAGTGGGGAGCCACAGTGAGATACAAATTGAATAAATTGTAATACATGATAATAATAAAAAGAATAAAAAACAAAAAATAAAAATAAAAGGATATTTCAAAAAATATCTTCTCAGTGGCTCTATGAGAGCAGGTGTGTGTCTACTCTTTCAGAAACTAAGTATTAACAAGTCTTTAGACTAACTGTAGATCTCAATTGCAAAGCCATGAAGGCACTTCATTAATATTACAGTCTTTCTCCTGAGTATTTGATAACACATTCTGGGCTAGTTAGTAAGGCCTTTAAAGTAAACATAATTTATATCTGTTTTATTTCTCATTTATTTAATGTTTAAATGCTCCAAATGCTTATTGCACAGTAGTTCTTTTTTAGTTTTATATTTTATGCATTTAGGTAAATTTCAAACATATAATATAGAGAATTATTATTGTATAGTGTTGTTATTTGTTTACTCTCTGGAGGAAAATATTCTGTTTCAGAAAGTACTTAATTTTAATTTCCTAAAAAAGTAACTAGGTTAGTAAAAACGTGAAATCATTTCTTTGTGAAAAGGAATCATTCCATGTTCCTTACAGCCATGTAAAAATGTATGTATGTATAATTAATTGATGTATAAGTTATATATATGCTATATACATAAAATTATATGTTAAACATATACTATAAAAATGTATATTTATTTGGATAATATACCAGTTTACAATCCACGTAGAAAGTTCAGAGATATACTATTTTTCAGTGTCACAACTAGAAAGATTCTAACCAAACAATTTAAATTTTCTTATTTTACAATGTGATCTTACAGAAAGGAGAGAGGTTAAACTAAAATTTGGAAAATGTTCCTTTTGCTTTAAAAAAATTCTTGTAAATTTTAGATGTAAAGAAAAGCTAAAAGGCATGGTGAGGACTCCATAATAATATACTGATTTCCTCCCATACACTTTGTAACTTGCCGTCCTATCATTTGTTTAACATGATTAATACATCAATATTGATACATTATAATCAGCCAAAAGCTGCACTTCATTCCACTCTCTTTAGCATTTATCTAATGTCTTTTCCTCCTGCCTCCTAGATCCTTCAAAAAATGCACAGCAATTATTAGTCAGGAAGTCTCTTCAGCCTTGACTAGATAGCCAGAGTCTCTAAGGGTAGTTTACTTATTTTGGGTGGCCTTGACAGAGTGGCAGGAGTACTGCTGTGGTATTTAATAGACAGTCTCTCAGGTGCTTTAGCTGATGCTTCCCTCAAGATCAAGAGCCCTGGGCTTGGAAGACAGAGACCAAGGGGTCCCTATCATGGTGTATCACTGCAGTGATACATGCTAGCAAGTCACTTCACTTCTGGACACCTACTGAAGGATGAGGTTCCCAGATGTCTTGTGTGTTTTGGTTTCTATAAGAAAATATAACAAAATTCCACAAACTTTCTAATTCGTAAACAAAGTGAAGTATTTGTCACAGCTCTGAGGGTTGGAAAGATCAACATCATGGTTCATCCATGGAACTACTAGAAGTTCCCTCTGTTAGCTTGTATCTATTTATTTCTCACTGGGTTTTCACCTGGTGAAAGAGAGAAAGCTATCTTAAGTGCCTTTGGTAAAGAGATCAGTTCCATTCAGGAACTAACTGCCTCTCCCTCTTGCCAACTTCCTTTTTTAAATTTTTATTAATTATACTTTATTCACTTCATATCCCCCCATAAACTCCTTCCTCCTCCCCTCCCAACCCCACCTTCCCTCCCCCTTCTCCACGCATGCCCCTCCCCAAGTCCTCTTATTTATAAGATGATAAAGGTAGAGGTTAGGATTTCAACACAAGAATAAGGAAGGCGGGCACTAAGGTTCAGAATCTATTTCTCCATGAGAAAATAATATTTAAAACCATTTGAAAGGAGGGGTTATAATATTTAAATGCCCACAGCAGTAGCCCTTGTTTCAATGTGAGAACTTAAACATGTACCTAAGCATATTCTATTTAAATTATAAATATGAAGGAGGTTCGTCTTCCCACATGAATCACACTCTATAATACAGTTATTCATTTCATTTTACATTGAGCTCTTGGATTGTAAGAGTAAGAAAAGCTGACTGATTGTAGATTTGACATATGAATATTCTATATTGTAGCTTGTGTATATTTGTAAATATACTTTACAATGCACTCTTACTTTAAGTTGGCAATCATCCAACCATGTAGAGTTGAACCAACAATGTAGACTTGAATGGTCTCTGGATATATAGCTCTCTTTTATGGGGTAGGAAGTGCTTTTTCCATGAAGCTTCGTGCACTGCACCATGGCAATATACAGTGTTTATTTTAGAATGTCATTTCTGCAAGGAAGAAATAGATCAAGTTATTAAAGCACTATAATATTATGAGACGTAGAATTAAAATTAGGTAAGGATTTGTGTGAAATATCATCCTAAAAGACATAATGCCAAGTTTGGTAACTCCATTTGTTTTATTTTAACCTTTCAGTCATGGGGGATATTTGCTTAAACAATTAAATGCAGCTTTCCCTGTTTAGGTGGATGATGGGCTTATCTCATTAGTATCTTTCTATGACAATTTTGGTTCCAAAGATTGTTATCCATAGACATGGTATTGCACATGCTTCGGGGGCAATGTTCAGCTGCCTAGCAATGTATGTATTAGTGTATATTCAACCTGTACTGCACACTGACCCTTCTTGGTTAAGTGAATTGACTTGATGAACTGTCTTCTCTAAGTTTTTTTTTAATAACTAATTTGAGTATTTATTTATCTGCATGTTCGTAGAGGGCAGTGATTCCTTCTTAGATGTTTGCTGATGTATCAAAACTGGAGAAAAATAATAACTCAGCAGAACAATATTAGAGCATCTATCCAACCCTGGAGTGCATACCCTGAGTTATTACAGCGGGTGGAATTATTTAACATACATGAGCTCAATTCTATTTAGAAACAAATGCAAGTATTTAAACCATATTTCAAGAATAAAAATTGTCATTAGCAATTTTCAAATATGTCATTGAAAAATAGTTCTTATATTTGAATTTGGATATATTGCTAAAAATAAGACAATGGAACCAACAGAAAAACTGGTAAATATTTGGAAAATTGTTTAGAAAAATAAAAGTTATTTTGTTTCCACACTGTGGTCTTTTAAAAAACATTTATTTCCTTATTCTGTGTATGTGTGAGTGAGCGAGTGAGGAAGAGAGAGTGAGAGAAAGAGACAGAGAGACAGAGAGAGGACACAAACCAATGGTTTTGAAGATCAGATGACCGCTAACGCGAGTTGGCTTTCTCGCATTCCAGGTATTGAGTGCAGGTCACTGGGCTTGGAAATTAGAATATTTTCCTGTTTTGCCATGCCATTGACCTTATTGAATATTTCAAAAATATTTTGGGAAGTTCAAAATGTTGCTAAATCGTATGATGTTTACCGATTTAAGTACAATGTTTATTCATTTTTGGTTTATTAGAGTATTACATTTTATTAATCCATTTTAAACATTTCTTAAAAGTAAAGATGTAGAAATAGCTGGGAGTTTTCTAAACAGCTTCTAGCACAGTGCAGAAGATATGCTTTCATTCCATCTTTTTCCTCTGTATTCACTCTTTCTTTTCTGCTAGGTGGCATGCATGCCGTGGTTTCATGGAGACCATACAATGCTTGAGATGATTGAGAAAAAGCGTTGCTTGTGCAAAGAAATAAAGGCTAGACAGAAAACGGAAAAGGGCCTTTGCAAACAGGATAGCATGCCAATCCTACCCAGCTGGAAGAAGAATGCGGGCTCCAAGAAGTACAGCCCTCCACCATATTCCAAACAGCAAACGGTGTTCTGGGATACTGCCATATGAGTTTGTACCGGCCTGAGCTCCATCCCTTAACAGAAGAGAGGTCGACCTTGGTCTTGTGATGATTGTTAACATATATTCTTTGTTGATGCGGATACCACAGGAAGCTGTGTGTAATGTGGCAAGCACATGATAAAATGTATTGGTCCTTGCAGTTAAGACACACTTACTTATCCCGGATTCTTTTGAATCCAGAATATATTAAATTGTAAATATTTTGCTAGTATATGGGTGACACCTGAAATAATATTCATTATACACATTTAAGTTGCAGAAATATCAGAAAAGTTTACTAGATGATATAATTTGGTATGAACTGGTTTGTTATCTCTTTTATAAGTAACCCCTGGATGCCTTTTCTTATTGATTTTTGCATTTAAAATGTCTTCATCCTTCTGCCCACATTTGGCTTCTATAGAAGAACTCACAGGTACAAGTCCTATTCAAACACATAACATGTGATTTGGTGCTAGCAATGCATAAGGTGAATATCGTGTTTGTAAAGCTTCTCTGCTGCTTTCTGCATTTGTAAGGGATTGACTGGAAATTGAATGGAAGTATAACATCAGTCTGAATGTTCACATTACACTGACGCTGACAGTCTTTACTAAAGTGACATCATAAGGATTTCTTTCATATCCTGGCAATACACTTAGCATTAGATAGACTACAGAGAAAGGTGGTAGGATATATTGGGACATTTCAGCAGCAAACTTTCCTTCAGAAACGACTTTTAGAAATGTATGTCCTTGCAGCATTAATCTGATTGGAGGAGACCAGGGTTCACTGTGACATTGGAAATGACAAATAATAAAAACCTTAAGAGCACAGCTGTTTTCAAGAAAGTGGAAGCAGAGACATAGACATAATATTTTTAAGTAACATTCTACAGGCACGATTTTCTACAAGAAATAGAGAAGAAAACATTCAACTATACCAATTTGCATATTTTAGTATACTCCATGCCAACCTTCTTAAAAAAAAATAAGTACATTCATGGAAAAGTATTTCTTGCCAATCTTTTTAAGCTGGTTATTATATTTTGGGTCATAATCTTCTGTGTATAACTACTGTACCTGTTCTTACTGATTATGACACCATGACCAAAGAATTATGACCACTTTGTTATTTTACTTTGATTTAAGAGAGAAACAGGAAATACAGGGGATAAAGGATAAGTTGGACTCAACTTTATGTGGTGGTAAAATTTAAGTTAAGAAACTTAATTTAATAAAAATGGTATATATCTTTTAAAAGTAACTTGTTAGTTGAAAAGAAATATTGCCACAGATAAAGAAAAATGAAACTATCACATATATTTTGTATATTTAAATTACTATTTATGCTTCCTAAAATTGACAGTATGTGGTTCTTCAGTAACAATCAATTTAGTATTATATTTCTGAGAGGAAAAAGTGTGTTTGAAGTTATCATAGCAGTTTTTCTTGTAAGGGTATTGACAGCAATAGCTCCATGCTGCTCAATAAAACCAAATATAACAGAAGTTAAGGAATTTTTGTAATCTATATTGATAAAAATATCTAGCAATCCTTTATCAGTAATAGTTCCTTGAAGAGAGTTTGAAATGTTAAAACATAATTTTTTAATATTTTATAATTAATGTATATTTTGATGTCCAATCATAATTCTGAAAGAATAAGAAAAATGGTAAGTGGGAGCATGTGTTGTGTGTGTGTGTGAGTGTGTGTGTATGTGAACAATCAGTGGGAGAACTGTATATATAAAATGCTTACTGAAGTAGTAAGTTCTGCTTATACAAGTAAGAAGTTGACAAAGACAAAATAACAAATATAGGAAACCACAGAGAGATCTTAAGTAGCTTAAATGAATAGGGTTGCTATGTTTCATCAGCTATATAGATTTGTACTTCAAGCCCAACAGTCAATACAGCACAGATCTAAGAGTGATGGAAATGGTTTAAGTTAAAATTATAATTGAAATCAAATGTGTTTATGACCCAAGTTGTTATCTGGATTTGAGTTACTATGACCTCATCTATTCAAGCCAATCGAATGCAAGGCATCATTTGTCAGCATCTCTATGATCTTAGTGCTCATGTGTTCTAGCTATTGCAGTAAAGCTAGAATGAGCCCTCTCTTGACATTTAAGTGTAGGCAACATATTCCTAGGTGTGTTTGTCACATGCTGATCTTAAGCATATCACTCTGAATTAGATAGAAGATAATTGTTAATGTTGGTCCCCTGTGCATAAAGAAACAGAGGTATTAACATGATTTATGTTGGATCAGCCATTCATGTGTGTTCTGTCAAGCTCACTCCTTTCACAAATGTGTTATTTTTCAGAGGAGTTGGATTTTTTGACAATTTGAACTTAGACAACCTTTTCCACATATTTCTCCAAGACTCTCTCTACATGAGAAAGAGGTGAAATATTTGGGGAAATGGCTTCACTTGGATTTGACTCCAGATCTGTTACTTGGTGCCTATATAATATCTAATTGCCACAGTGGACAATTAGATATTCTATAGTCAAGTCCCTCTTTGTACAGAGTTTCTCTTTGTTGTGAGACAAGAGTCATTATTACATAGACAAAAATCATGCTGACTCTCTGGTGGAAATAAATCAGGGCACTTCACCATATGAATCTGGTCGGAAGATAACCTGCAGCCAGCACATGATGACATGATAAAGCTCATATTTCTAGCAGTGCCAAAGAAAAAATCATATAAAACATGATTATCAGGCCAAGAGAACTCATACTTATGACAAATAGTCTCTTCACAGCAAATGTTGTAGAAACAGAATTTTATTGGCTGTCAGTAAGACGCTTTTATGTGTGAAATACTTCTTCGTAGAGAAGTAACAAATTTCCTTAGAAATGATGGAAGAAAAAAGTAAAATACTGTGTTTTCCTCATCACAGAAGCCAGTGCTATGTGAGAAATCACACTTTACAGAGACACTGCCAATATCTATCTCCCTCTGTATGCTATTGAAGCAAGTTTGAGATAAAAAGTGATGTATTTGTGCAAGTAGGGGTAAATTTTCAGCCACATAATAACTGAGAAATAAAAGCAAATATCAAGAGCTTAAAATGTGTTACTTTAAAATGTGTTATTTAAAGCATACCACTTTGAATACAAAATAATTGTTTGGACAGAAGATCACCTTTCAAAATAGTTGCAGTTTTGAACTGCTACCAAGAGGCAAGATCCTATTTGAATGCTTTTAGAAAATAGAGTTACCGACTTAGGAGTAGTCTTGTCTACACACAGAATTTGGTTTGATTCTTTTTTGAACACATTAAATGGAAAGTGAACACACATGAACAGCCCCAGCTAGTTACTGTTTTAATAAAGACACCAGAGCAATGCATCTACATATACAATTTTTATGTCACTTATATGTTAAACTCAGTCAGATTTCCAATGTAGATCTGGTGAATTGATCATGATTCCAGTTGAACTTAAAGCAAATATCCCTACAGTTTATAGAGTAAGAAATTTGATGTGAGTTATAAGTCTCACATGAAAGGGAATGTAGATAAGATAGACTATCATATCCTCATGCATTGTATTCTAAACTTAAAAACAAGCAAAAGAGAAATGACACATTCAGTGCATAGGGATACTTAAAGCATGCTCCAGACTTGGAATAATAACTAGCGAATTGCACAATGTGGATAATTTGACAGCAATCCATTGTTTTTTATGACTGTGTTGGATAATTTAAATATAGAGTTTCAAAAGTATTTAGAATTTAACATTGAAATAGATGTGGTCTTTACAATTAAGGACCTCAATTATGCAATCATTAATATATTCAAAAGGAAAAAAACCACTTGTTTTCAATAGAATACACAACTTCACATGTTTGGCAGTTTTTAAGTGCTTTTATGCAGCATAAGTGTTATGTTCTGATCAAGTGTACAGTCAAAATAAAAGATGAGAATATACTAAATTTATGTCTATAGCATACGTGTATGTGTAAGCTCCTCCCTGTGCATTACAAGATGTACTGCTGTGTAAATCAGTAAAGGATAACACTGTTTATCATGTTAAATGTAAACATTGTGGCTTGGGGTTTGGAAGGTTTAAAGCCCTCTCATATTTGGGTCAATTTTATTGAAGCAAAATGTGTAAAACCTGGAAACATGTCTCATTGCATTTTCTTTAATTGTTATGAAGCTTCAGATTTAAGGAAAAAAAATATTGCTGAATTTATCTCAAATAAAAATATATGAATAATCCTTCAAAGTATTCACTTGTTCCCAAATATAACTGGGTTTGCCCACCCTAAAAGCACTTATATTTAACCATGTACACACTCAGATACAGAATACATACTGTATATAATATATATGACAATGTTTAGTATGCACTTCTTTTGTTTGGGCTTAGCATTTAGAGTGTAGCAATTTGTGTCAAGTGCACTGTGATTATAAAGAGAATCAAAGCACAGTACAGTCACACTTTTGTTATCTTGCACTAAAAGCGTGTTTACGTATTTAGCAATTGTATGTTTACCTTCTCGACTTTTCAAACATTTGAAACAAATAGCTATAAAGATGATATAAACTAATCTGTTTTTTTAGTGGGTAATGACACTACATTTTTAAAAGACAGGGTTTTTAACTAAAACCATTTAACATCCATTCCAACTTTAATATGTTTACCATATCTAAAAATCTGAATGTCATGTTGCATTTTCATAACCCATTAGCAATGTCAGGTATGTGCCTGAATATTTGTGCAAATAAGCATTAGATAACAGATTTCTCTATTCATGTATTCCTAGGCATTTCTATATACATAATAATATAAACACTGATGTTTTAATGTCTCTTAATTTTTGTACTTGATTTTTTTAGGTAATATGTAATTATATATGTACTTTGATACTACTGAAGTAACCAGATGTTGTTTGAAAAGAAATTGATTTCTCTAGTGCATTGACAATATTTTATGATATTTTGTGCTTATTTATTTGTGCTCCCGTGTAATTATAATAAAAGCAATAGTTTAAATTAGATGGCTGTTATTTCTTATCATTATTCATCAA